ATATATATATATATATATATATGAATGTTAGCAATAAATTTATATAGTTCTATGTTGTGAATAAAGCATTTGGAATAAAGTACATTGACATGTGGACAATTTTTGATGAGACTAGCTTTTTTATCATAATTGGTGAATATCATTAAATGTATTTAACCAATGTGATGTTATTTAAACTTTGTGTGCTTTATGTCTCTAAAGGCTTTTACTTTGTTTTATTGCTTATGTGTGATTTTTATTTTTATGTCATTGTGTTTGAACATCTGTGTCCGGCTTTATAGATTGTCTGCAGTCCTATACGTAATTCAGTTACTTACGTATAGGTTTACTTTATAGCATGGTTACAAAGATACCAAGAAGATTAATGCTATTACCTAAGAATTTTGTTGCTGTTTTCATTATTATTCATAGCTGCAGGCCTGGGGGGAAAAACCTTATGCTTTTTAAAGAAAAAAAAATCCTGATACTTAGAAATAAAGTATTTTTACCTCTGTTGCTAATGTATTGAGTATGCAGAACAGTTCACTGTACAATTGAACCACTACTGTTATAACTAATTACTCTCTATTGTTCTTTCTCCATTTGGTCATGGAGAAGGGGTGTAAACATGAACAAGATGTAAATTTCCTAAAAACAAAACTGAGAGGACATTTGAATGTGCACATCCAAATTAATCTCGTCTATTGACTTAATCCCATCTCTGTCCTCTTCTTTCCTTGTTGTGTATACCAAGACACCAGGACCTTGTTGTTGCCAAGGCATATGTCAGTTCCTGCTAATTATGCCATTGCAAAAGGCATCTGAATCCTTCACAAATCCTATGCACAGTGTATAATAAAATACTTATTTAGATGAAAACAATTATAATTTCTTTAAATATGTTAGATATTTTACTAATTTATATGTTTTTTCATTATTCACATATGTGGCCATGAGTTCCTTATGAGCTGATGAATTTATCTGCATCTTGAAGGACACCTTTGGATCCAAATTATCACATTATTGCTATATGGAATTACAATTTGATATAGTTTTCTGTCATCTTCATGGAGTATTAGGGAGGAGAAAACAGGCAAAAAAGTATGCTCATGGTTCTTGGCATGCAGCTCTGTTTTTTCAGTGGGCTCCAGATTCCTTTTCACCTTAGTACAGGGTGCTCTTAGCTGGGATAGAAAATAGGTTACAAATGCCCAATTATGGAAAAATAATTACTGGATCAGTAGTTTCTCTTGCCATAATGCTTCAGCATAGCTTTATTTTAGTTAGATTCGCTTATCTAGCTGAAGTTTGCTTTTCTGACAGGCTTACCATAAAGATTAGCAGATGTTCAATCTAGATGAGAAGAGGAGGTTGGAACCAAAGGCAGCAAGACAAAATTGTGCATAAATGGTTGTAAAATAGTGTAAAATTCCTTCTGTTCTTGGTTTTTATATGTTTTGCCTATGTCTTGACAGGATGGAGTCAGCTTGCTGCTATGCATTGTGTTATGCTTCCTGACCTGTTGGGTCTGGATAAATTTAGACCACCTCTACTTGAAATGTTGGCTCGTAGATGGCAAGATCGATGCTTGGAGGTACTGTTTTTTATCGAAGGTGGCAGTGGGTAGGAAAATAAATGTGTTAGCCAACATGAGAAATATTATTTTTACATTGGATATATTGTTCCAAGAAAAGTACACTATAATTCTGTTTTAGAGGTTGGATTTATATATAGGTATATGCAATTCAATTTGCAGGTCAGTTTTATAAGATGGAGAGTTAACACCCCAGTATGACAACACTATATTGTAGTTAAATGGGAAGCTAGACTTCAGAGAACAGGATTAATACAAAAGACATGATGAATCTCACTGGCCACTGGATGTCATCATTGTTCCATCAGAACACATAGAACTGCTCCTGAATACCAAAAGTCTTCCTTTCCATAAGCTTTGGAGTAGCATAGCTGGATTAAGCTGCATAGAGTTTATTGTTCATGCATCAACAGTTCAATAACTGCTGCAAATTCATTTTAATCCTTTTAAATAGTGTGCTTATTTTTAAAAGTGAGAGAGGAAAATGTATACAGAACAAAACACTTCATGTTATTGTGCAGGAAACTTATGTTCATATAAGCAGTTATTTGATGTGTGTGTGTGTGTGTGTGTGTATTTTTATTAGTACCAGTTTTTCTTCAACATTTTTAAGATTGTCATCTGTATCTTTTTTATGTTTAAATAGCTAATAATAGCAGAGAGAAATTAAAAATATATAATTGATTGCTGTGAGCATTTGAATCTACCCAAATTTTAGAACAATCTTTTATTCTAGTAAAGAGGAGGCTATAAGGCTAAGAGGTTTCTTAAGCCAGGTTTTAGAGATAGGCTGCAGCATAGTTTGAATATGACTCTGCCAGTCCACAAATGGTGTTGGCACCTACTTTTTTTGATAAATGACTATCTGGCCTTGACATCACATCTATGCTGTTGTGGCAAAAATAAAATGTTGATTGTGCAGCTTTAAAAGAAATATGAGGAGCAGTGCTGTGACATTTACGGTTGAGTTTTGCACTGATTCCTGATCTTAATTGAACATCTGCTACTATGGTTGTACAGTGTGGTGAAATCCATGCAAACATGGTAAATGTTGCCTTGCTCTATTCCTGGCTAATTTTGCATTTCAGTTTCTACTGTGTGTCATTGTAATGGGAAGAAGGATGGGAATAAGCCGCATAGAGCATCAGCTCCTATACTAGCATAATGTATGAGCTGGGCCTGGGACATTTTCTTGGCATAAAGCTCTGGCAAACTCTGTTACACCTAAATCAAGTGTTCCTAGCACATGGCCAATAGGCTGCATTCAACTCCTATTTTATGGCACCCAGACAAACAGCTCAAAGCCCTTTATAACAAGCATATTCTTCTTGTTTACTGCTTCTTCTCTATTCCTCTGAAATTCAGAGGTGTAATTGATGACTGAAATCTGTGGCATGGTCTGAGGGAGAAAATTGTACCCACTGCCTGTTCCTGGCCTAAATATTGTAGCAAAATTTTAGGCCTCATTAGTGAACTTCCTGGAACTCTAGAATTGGATTCCAGTTTCAAATACATATATCGGTTGTATCTACAGGTGAGAGAAGCTGCTCAGGCCTTGCTGTTAGCTGAACTGAGAAGAATTGAACAAGTGGGAAGAAAGGAAACAATTGACATGTGGGCTCCTTACTTGCCGCAGTACATGGATAGTGTTATATCACGTAAGTATTTCCTCTTCAATCCCAAGCCAAATTGTCTTTAAAAATGCACGTTTAAGGGGAAAAAATACCTAAAATAACTGTAAACTGATACATTTCATAGCAGAACATAATAGTGTGTGTTCATGTACACATGCTTGGGTATAAAAGATAATTAAAACGTTTGATGCATCCTATTTATTTGTTTGTTTAATTGTTTTTGTTTTATTTTTTGTTTTTATATTTTATAAAGTGATTTTAGCTATATTTATTTTTTTATTCATTGTAAGCCAATGTGGCTTAGTGGATTGAGTATTGGACTACAACTCTGGGGGCCAGGGTTCATTTCCCAGGTTGACCTTGGGCAAGTCATATGCTCTCAGCCTGAGAGGGGAAGGCAATGGCAAACCTCCTCTGAACAACTCTTGCCAAGCAACCCTTATTATAATTTCACCCTAGGGTCCCCAAAAGTTGCAAACGTTTTGATGGCACACAACAAGAACAAGCTTCCTTGGGTCCTGTGTGGATGAAAGTCAGGATATAAATTAAGCAAACAGGTGTACAAACAAATACATCACAACATAGTAAATACTGAGGCTGGCATATGTCAGGATTTGTGGCATTGTGCTGAAATGAGATGCCTGTGATTTCATGCCATAGCTTGAAAATATTTTAAAAAATCTATAAATTCCCAAAAGCAAACTTTGATTTTGCCATTTTATGTAAGGGATGCCATTTTACTACACCATTGTATTTAGTGGAACTTGAGCATCCATGGATTTTGATATCCATGGGTGATCCTGGAACCAAACCCCAATGAATACCAAAGGCCCACTGTATTTGGTATAAATCAAGGGTGTACAATGATGTTGGGCTGCTGCTACTAGCATCCTTCAGTGACTCATTCACTATTCTGATTAGAGCTACTTCTACACTGAAGAATTAATGCAATTTGACACTAACTCTCATGGCTCCATCCTATGGAAGCCTGGGATGTGTAGTTTGTTGTGGCACCAGAACTCTCAGACAGAAGATTACATATGTTGCAGCATTCTATGGCGGTTAAACTGGTGTCAAATTGCATTAATTCTGCAGTGTAAATACCAGCTACAGTATGATGGGAATTGCAGTCTAGCAATAACTGAAAAGCCATACTATGTTTATCCCAGTAGAGACACCTTTCCTCTGAGATGTCAATTGAAGGAAAGCAGGGCAGAGTTAAAAGTCTAGCTCAAAATGATGAAGTGTGTTACTGACAACTGTATGAGTATAACAAGTCATTTATCTTGCTCAGCATTAAAATTAAAATCCTACATTTTGAATTAATATTGCTGTTATATATCATCCTGATCTACCATGATCCAGAATGTCTTGGTTGGTGTACCAGGATTATTATACTAGACAGATGTGACTGAGATGTGCTGAAGGTTGTATTTTTGTGTTACCATTCCATAGCAAGTTAGATAATCCAGTTGTTAGATGTTTGAAATTTGTTTATTTTTAATATAACAGATAATGAGAAGTTTACCCTAAGGAATTGAATTTCCTTTTGTTGACAGAGCTTTGTATGTTAAATGCCAATTGATTTTTTTGAAAGATATATATAATGACCTTGTTAAAGCTAAATGGCTTATATAATTTAGATAAGTTATTCTGTGCTGTACCCAACAAGTTTCAGTAAAAAACCCTTAAGATTTTTGGCCTTCTGTTTGTTAAATTATTGATTATTAGCAGTATTAATATTGTTATTTAAATATCCAGTCTGTTCAATTATAAGTGCCTATTTAAGTATTAATTAAAATAGTTGTATCCCACAATCTCAGAACAATGTACAAGCAGAATCAATTCAACAGTTTAAAACACTATAAAGTGTAAAACAACAGAAATAATGAAAAAAGAGGAGAAGAATATTAAGCAATTTAAATGGTTTAAACAGGTTTAGAATGCTAAAACAATTTGAAACTGTTTACCTTTCAATTTTGGAATAAATTATTTAGGCCCAAAAACCTAAGCTGGAATTTTTTATTTTACTTGGTCCCAGAATGAAGTCTGCATTTGTGCCTCTAGGAAGAAGCATTTCACAACTATAGTGCCACAACTGAGAAGACCCTCTCCCATGTTCTCTTTTAGAGGAAGAGAGTAGGACATGGAAGAATCTCCGAACCCCCACCCCCCCACTGCCTCAATGCTTTGGCAGGTGTTTTCTGAAGTATTAAAGACCCAAGCTGTTCAGGGCTTTGTATATCATCACAAGTACAGCCGAACCCCCGTTCCCACAAGGGATCCGTTCCGGATCCCCCTGCGAGAATGGAAAACCACATATATTCAAGCCCCATAGGCTTGAATGGAGGCACCACAGGCATGCGCCCCATTTTGTGTCCCTCTGTTTGCCGCCTGCGGATAGGCGAGGGACGCGGATCCCAAGTCCGCGAGAATGGAGGGTCAACTGTACCTTGAATTTAGACTAGCAATATATTGGTAACCAATGCTGTTTCTTTAAAATTGTTGTTATAATGGTGCCTTAATGGTACTTTGCTCATCTGTCTAGGCCCATGAAGAGCTTCAAGGTAGCCTCACACAGAGCAGGGCATGAACTATTATGGCTGTGTTCAGGAAATCCTGTAGCTGATCAGTTGAAACTGACTCCAAAGACTCTGGGCTGTGTAGTCCCCCTGGATTTCCAGTGACAAAGATGAACCCAGAAATACTCTCAAGCTCTGTAGATGCTTCCTCATGGGGAGTGCAACTCTCTCCTAGACAGGTTGTTTAACCAGTTTCCATACCCAAGAACTGACAATCTACAGAGTTTCCATGTTGTTGTGATTCAGCTTCAGTATGGGCCTGAACAGAATACCAGAAATAATGCAGCTTGAGACCACTTTAACTGTCCTGGCTCAGTGCTAGAGAATCATGGGAACTGTAGTTTATTGTGGCACCAGAGCTCTCTGATAGAGAAGGCTCAATGTCTCAGAAAAAACTCAATGATTCCCTAGCATTGAGCCAGGACAGTTAAAGTGGTCTCAAGCTGGATTATTTCTGGTAGTCTGTTCAGGCCCTATATTGGCTTTTATCTAGCCCATTAGAGCATCTAAGCACTGGTTAATACCAGCATAGTCCTAGCCAAATCCTGTGACAGGGATAAATACCATTATGTCCTTTTCCCCACCCATGACTTTATATAGATATCAAAACACATGGGGATCCTTGTGGCACCCCAAAGCTTAATAGCCATGGGGTTGAACAGAAATTTCTCATTGTTCCTTTTTAAGACTGACCCTGTAGATAAGAGTGGAAGCACTGTAATATGGTGCCTCCTACTCCCACCCCACCAATACCATGTTCAGTGTTATCAAAAGCTATTGAGAAATTTAGGAAAATCAACATGGTAGCACTCCCCCATCTTTCCCTGAGTGGACTAGGGCATCGAAAGGCCATTTCAGTACTGCATCTTGGCATGAAACCAGGCTGAAATGGGTCTATTTAATCTGTTTCTTCCAACAGCATGTGAAACTGCCTAGCCACTCTTTAGCATCTTCCTCTAAAAGAGAACATGAGCAATAGGACAGTACTTTGCACATACCTCTTGGTCCAGCAAGATCCTCTTCAAGAGAGGGGACATTACTGCTTCTTTTAGGGCAGTAGGCCCATCTCACTGACACAATTAATCATTTACTACCCCCTGTACCCACACAATCAGTCCACTTCTGCTAGATCTTGCCAGCCAAGATGGGTAAGTGTCAAACTTGCGTGTGATGGCACAGACTAATTCAAACATCTTGTCCACATCATGAGGCCACAAAAACTGTAATGGATCCCAAGTAACCTGACCAGATGGAACACTGAACACTTCCCCAGCCTCTATGAGATCGGTGGGTTTCAAGTTTTGAGTGAATATGAACAACTTGCCCTTTCAAATGCCTAGCAAATTTATCACTGCAAACAAGTGACGGTTCCACTTCTTGCCTTTCTGAACTAGATCTCAACAGACTACTCACCACTTGGAATAAATTTGCTGGATGGCATATCAAAGGTTGAGGCATAATAAGATTTTATTTTATTTTTCTTAGGCACAACAAATTGTCTTCATTTATATTTGGCGTACTCCATGACCTATACCACCTGCACTCTAGGAGTTGTCCAGTGTGTTTCATTGTTTAACCCAAGCTTTATTATGTTAAACGATTAAATGAAATTTTCTGGCCTGGTAGTATACTGGCAAATTCTAGGAGGTGATAACCTGTTGTCTCTCTCCACTTATCCAAATGTCTTACTTTCCTGACTCTGATATAAAATGAAGTTGAGTAACATGATTTAATTGGATGGGCACTCAGAATTACACATTTTTTAATTGTGAGCCTATACTAAACTGGATCCCACTGCACTTCTTGATTGAGTTTGCAGCAGAATATACCCATCTGCTCCTCCTACATTCCCTGCACCAATACTCTTGCATTCTCTAACCATAACTGATGGCATGCAGAGGGATCTTGTAGCAGCTTTGAGACTGAGAGAAGGAAGTTGTAGTATAAGCTTTCATAGACTTAGGGCCGATGCACACGGCCCGTTTGGGGCGGCAGAGAGCTGCCCCAGGGAGCAGCAGATCAGGGCTGTGGCAACACTATGAATGGGAAATGCCACTCCTTTTAGGGGTGGCAAAAGTCTGCCCTAAGATCCAGCACCACGGTTCTTCCATGTCCTTTCGGCGCAGCGTGTTTAAATGCTGCACCAGAAGGGCGTCCTGACACCATGTGCTGTGTGTGATGGCACGTGGCGTCAGGATGGCATTGAAGTGGGGTTGGGGTGGCCGGTGTGCGGCTGCCCCACCCCAACTCTACCCCCAGGCCGGCCCTTAGTGTACTTTCTCAGATGTATATGGTAGTAGTGAACAAAGCTTTGAAATTGTGCTCTTCAAGAACATGTATAGAAACATCCAGGTCACCAGAAAATAGAGGAACCAAGGGAGCTACTGATGTATGCAGTAGCGCTAACATTACTTAAAAAATATTGCAGTGTGATTTCTAGAGGCAGACAAAAATAAATAATTAAAAACAGCTGTATGACAGATACAAAGAAAAATGAAAAATGTAAATTGCAAAATCTGCCTTTGCCTGTCTTTTATTTATTTTGTATTTTTTATTTCAAATGTAAGAAACTAACACTCTCTTTAATAAGGAAATTTCTTCCAAATTACATTGGGAATAGCAATAGCAATAGCATTTACATTTCTATACTGCTTTATACAGAACTAAGCAATCTCTAAGTGGTTGACAACATGCAAGCCAATTGTCCCCAACAAGCTGGGTACTCATTTTACTGACCTACAAAAGGATGAAAGGTTAAGTTGACCTTGGAGCCCCTCA